GGATTCCATCTGAGCACTATGACTATAAACTATCTTTATTCCAAGTATCTTCTTTTGAAGGAAATCAGCTAAACCTTAGATGTGGCAAACGCTAGAAGAATTCTCTGCCTTTTTAGTATCATTTTAAGAAAATGACATCTATCTTCCTTATTGTAGGTCTCTCATTAAAAATCACTCGTTTCCTGAATCGAGTGTGCAATCATAATTTAGTCTGGATGCTGAATATTCAGTGGATTTAAGAAGAATTTCTTTGAAAGTACAACTTTTCTGAAGTTATTGTATTAAAAAGGTCAACCATCTGGGAAGATACAGTTGAGATGGAAGAGTGTCCTTTGGAGAGCTGAAAATGTAAAAATGTGTTTAAAATGTATCTTGCACTACCTGATTTGGGGTTCCAGTAGAGTTTATAAAGTAATATTCTCTAAACAGTAGTGCTAATAATTTCTAATCTTTTTTAATACAAAATATATTGTTTCTTTTTAAGCATATAAGACCTAGGACCTTATCTCTTCACTTCCTTTTAGTTGTTTACTCACTTAATTTCTTCTCAGACTAGCTACATACTTCTTGTTTGTGTGAACTTTTTTCAAGTTACCTAACTTTTCTGTGCCTCAGTTTCTCCACCTGTAAAATCAGTACCTCACAGTGCTGTTTTGAGAACAGTAGGGTATTTAGAACAGTGCCTGGAACAGAGTGAGTGCCACATAAACACTAGTGAGCCTTATTTATTGATCATCTACTACATGCCAAACAATATGATGGAAGGCATAGAGCAGAAATAGCCATGAACAAACCACCATAAATATATAATGTGATTAACTGCTTGAGCGAAAATAAAGCAGAGTTAAGAGTGTAGAGAATGGTACAGATATTATCTTTATGATAGGGAGGTCAGAAGAGCCTCTCAGATAAAGACATTTTTTTGGCCCAAGCTAAAGCAAGTGAGAGCAAGGGATGTGGATACCTGGGCCAATGAGAACCTCAGGCAGAGAGAAGATAAAGAACCAAGGCCTTGATGTCAGGGGGCACTGGGCAGGTATGATGAACAAGGAGGACAGGGTGGCCAGAAGAGAGACAATAGGCAGAGATGGTAGGAGGAGAAGTCCAAGAGACTGAGGGTGGGGAGGAGAAGAGGACTTGTCTCAGAGGACCTTGTTTGCCAGGTTAGAGACTCTGGATTTTGTCTTGGTGAGACAAGAAGTCTCTGGAGGGCTTTGACAGAGCAGTGACATGAGGAGGGGAAACAGATAGGAGCCTGCCGCGCTAGTTAAGACAATGGATGATGGTGGCGTGGATCAGGTGGCCAACGTAGAACTAGTTCAATAATTCTAATATGCTGCTCCGCTCTCCACTTTCCTTAAAAATATCCCTTTAACTGGCATTTATTGAACATCTACTAAGTAAGGCTTTGGGCTGGGCCATTTTACAGATGTTAACTCTACCCTAGTGTACAGACCCTATGATAAAATATATTAAAGCTCCAAGAAAGTTTGAAATCATCTATTGCAACCTCATTATTTTACAGATGTGGAAATAGAAACCCAGAGAGATTAGATGATTTATCCAAAATCATATACCTCGTTAGGTCAAGAGAAGGGCCCAGGACTCAGTTTTCCTTACTTTACAGAAGAGGACATTCAAAATCAGCAGTTGTACTAACTTACAAAGATAACTTATGGCACCCTTTTTTATTCCCCTTTGCCTCTTCTGATTTAAAAATTACGACACAAAACTTCTTTCACACATGTCCTCATTAGGTTAATGTTTATGAGAATCATTTCTAAAATGAGCATTTTTGCAGTTTCTAAAATAACTCTTTGCCTTAGGAAGTCTATATAAGTGACTATTGCCATAATCTATTGACGGGAAGTTCTGCAAATCTATCACTGGTAGAAAAACCACCGACCTTCTCTAGTTATTTTAGTATGCCAGTCTCTTACCAAAATAACTCCTGTAGATTAGAAACAGTATCTGTCAGATTGAGAGGACGGGCTCAGTCTGCCTGACCGATAATCGGCGATTCCAACAACTTAGCACACTGCCTGTTCCCAAGGAAAGGAAGACATGGCATAGAGTCGTTCTTGAGACAAATAAAGGATCTAGAATCGTGAACGGTATTTTATTTTTAACGTAAACAGGAGACTTCATGAGATATTTCCAACTACTGTATTTTCTTAATTTTGTATAACTTGGAGAAATTAAGAAGGAAATAAAGCTCGCTGAAGATAAAGCAGAACTTGATAAGAACACTCCGATTTGTGTCCTGAGTCTAAGTGATGAGGTGGACTTCCTGTTATGAACTTTTCCTCTTCCCTTCCCCCCCAGTTCAAGCTTGTATCTGACTTTCGGTCTTCTGCAGTCACCCCTGAGCTTAAGGCTTCCTCCGGCACCTTGAAGCAGGACCGTCAAAAGGCTATAGCTTTCATTTTTCTCTTGGAAAACTTGGAAGAGATCTTAAGGCCTTGAGGAGCTGAAATATACCCCTGGCCTAGGAAGGACATTTTATAAAACTGACAAGTGGGCAGTCAGGCTGGCTCCTGAGATCAGCAGTAGGGCTCCATGTAATGTAATGAGTGTGAAAAGAGCCATTTCCCAATCATCTTGTTCATTCCACGCACATTAGGAAAGAGGAAAATTCAACTGAGGGCCAATTCTCCCCTAAGAATCCTTTAGTTTAATTATGACCACAGTATCTGAAATGTCTGTAAGGTGTCCACTCTCAGCAGTGAAAGGAAGAGAGGAAACCCTTTCCCTACTAAAAAGACAGGGAAGGATGCTCTTATGGTTCTAAAACATGATTGAAAATTCAATTTAACCGATGACCAGGCCACTGCGCTTCTTGTAAATGAACATCTTTTTGCTGCTAATTTTGTGCTATTTTACTTTTCATTAAAAGAAGTAATTCAGGTTAAACTCAGCTGAACAGCAAAAAGCTCTTGGTATTTTGAAGCATTTTGAACAATTACTTTGACAGGAGCCCTTGACAGTTAAATGACTCCGTTAAATGAATGTTACAGAAGACACATAATGATTTTTAGTGAAATATTGAATTTAACCGCAAATGAGGAAAAACCAGTCATAAGCACTATGGGTGTATTTGAATAATAACATCTTGCTTATGAACCTCAATGGATTCTATAATTTCTAATAATCATGCAATCAACTAGTTAGCTGGTGAGTATGTTTCCCATCTTAGTGCCCTCTATTCATTTTTGCGTTTTGCTTTTGTTGCTGTTTTTTAATCTGAGAAACCATGTGAAAATTTTGAAACTGGCAATAATTTCCTCTTACATCAGTATGATATTTTAGACTTAGGCAATTAATGAGTCTCTGTCTCACAGCTGAAGTCTTCCTTTTTCCTTTTTCTCCTCTGCTGAATGAGATTCTTTGACAAAGTAAAAATCAGCAAAAGGCAAGAGCCTGCTGCCTGAGAACATGTGAATTCACTGTATGCTAGTGTTTCCCCCCCATCCACGGGACTCAATATTCCTTTTCTTATTTTATGGATCGAACGTGAGATACTATCAAGACTTTTACATGTTTTTTCATGACTAACGACTGAAATATGTACTGAAATAATAAAACGGGTGCTGTTCAATTTCCTTTTTAAATTCAATTCCAATATAAGTGAGAGTGCCCTTATGATGGGGAAATCCGGCTTATTAGAAAACTCTGTTTTCTGGAGAAGAAGAGGAGCTAGAAATCCTTGTAGACTTAAAACATGTGGGTGAGGAGAGGTGGGGGAGGACACTGGGATTGAAGAAATGAATCAGAAAACCAGGAACGCTCTTTATCTCCTTTGCCTGGGAGGCAACGAGGGAGCAGCCCAGCACCCTGGGAGGCTCGGCGCTTCCTGATTCTTCCAAGCAGGTGAGGTCCAACGTCCCCTACGTTCCCACGGCTCCCTGCACTCAGGCTCCCTGCACTCAGCGGCATTCAGCAACTGTCTGTTTCCACTTTCACTGCCTAGTTAAATGTCTGCTCCCCACTAGACAGTCACTCCTTGAGGACAGGGAGTGTCTTTTCATTCTGCATCCCCCAAATTTCTAAGCCATGATAAGCTGGTCAGTAAATGTACTTTTTTTTTTTTTTTTTAGTAAATGTACTTTTGAACAAAGTACTTTTAACATTTAACTACTTCAGCTGACAGTCAAAACACGTAGGAAAGGCAAGATAGCTTAACTATCTGATACTAGTTAAAGGCAGGTCCAGATACACAGCAAGCTGCCTAAATTAGGTATTTCCCATAACCCTGCTAACTCAAGTGTGGTCCATAGACCAGCAGCAGTGGCATCACCGGGGAGCTTTCCAAATACCACATCTCGGGCCCCACCCCAGGCCCCCTGAATCAGAATCTGCATTATAACAAGATCCCCAGGTGACCTGTGCACAGTGAAGTTTGAGAAGCATTTACCTAGGATACATGACCAGTATGATGCCTGAAGAAGTGATGGTGTGTAAGAAGGAGAAAAAACCAAGATACTTCTTCACGCGCTTGCCTGTTTAAAGACACAGCTGCTCTTAATAATTGTCTTTTCTCCTTGGTGCTAAGAAAGTATCTATCAGCTTGCTGACATTTGCAGGAGTTTTGGCTTTCTCCAACTGAAAATGTGGATGATTGAAAGGATATTGCTGACACCTGAATGAGAAATCCAATGACTCCAAGCTATGTAAATTGAATTATTTCCTTTAATTCTTTTTTCAGGAATCTCTTTTTCTTTTCCTGAGCTTTGGTAGCAATTTTCATTTAAAAGAAATACAAGTCAGCATTGGTTCACTGAACAGGCTGACACGCAATTTCATAGGGGGAGAGGCGCTGTGTGTTTAATCTAATTTGTGCTCTCAATTCCCAGCTAATGTATCTAGGGATCCTGATGTATGCATGTACAAGGAGACATCTATAATGCAGAGTCCAGCACTCTGCAGTTCTCTGAAGCACGGCTAAAAAATCAGGCTGGCTTCTTGCAGCTGCCCTACATGATAAATCTCTGTATACTCACAGATGTAGAAATATTCCCGGCCTGGTCTGAATTCAAATCCTAGGGAAAAGGGCGTGAAGAGCTGGAATTTTTCAGAGAACTTCAGTGGTCCATTCGGAGAGTGAGGCCGATTACATTCCCATCTCTTGAACCCTTTGGAAGTATGGTCGCAGGCACTGTAGCCATCAAAGTTCACCATGTAGAGGACATAACGCTCAGTCTTATCTTCCGGGACTGAGTCCTCATAGTGAGGGCAGAACACATCCAGGTAGTCATTGATACAGACGTCAATGTGGTAGTCACCCCTCTGAAATCTGTTGGAAGAAGAAAAAGATAGGATTATTCATAGAGGAAAGGCTTCCTGCTTGGAATCAGTGGTTGAACCCATTAATAACGCTCAGGCTAAAGATTTATTATAGTAAGTTTTTATTTGGTGCCATATGATTTGAGGCATGGTTTGAATTGTTGCTGTTCCAAATCTAAATAACAGCATGCCATTTTACAGAGGAATTCTATTACCGTTGTTTCAAAGTACCCTACCAATGGAGCGCTTCACTTTCATTTTAAGTATTAAAGGTACGGATTTGCTGTTCTCCTTTCATTGTTAAAATCAGTTTTCATATTTCTAAAATAGTGTTTCATTTAATAAATGTTTTTGAATAAATGAGTAAGAAATTTAAAAAATAGATGAATTGTTTTTGTTATAACTGAGACCATTCTTAATTTCCTATGCAGCTGTGGACAATTAGAGTGATAAAATTGAGAGAATTAGAATCATAAAATTTAAAAGTTGAAAAGAAAATTCCTAGAACAACACTTCCACTTTAGAGGAAAATAAAACCCGAAGGCATAATGATGAAGCAATGAGCCACTGAGCCAGACCTGGAACCAAGACTGAGGATCCTAGTTAGGTGTTTCCCTCAGTAAATCTGCTTTTGTCACAAACTCGTTTTAGCCAATCTCTGTTTTGATGCCCTCGCCCTTTCCCTATTAAATTGGTTGAATGACTTTTCTGCCCATTTCTTTCACTTTCATAGGTTGTGTTCTAGGGCTGGACTGAGGAGTAGAGAAAGTAAGAAGTCAGATGAAAACAGCAAAACCACGGCCACTTCATCCTGAAAGAGTTAAAATGTGTGCACACAAACACACCACTGCCCACATCACAGTGTCTGCTTCAATTCTTATCTTAAAAAAGTTTTGCTTATTTGTTTTAACTAATGTGCCTTTCCCCATCAACTGAACAGTTTTTCCCAGGACCCAGAGGTGTGTGAAACAGGAATTGTTATGTACACAACTTTCTAAAATCAGAGTGGAAAAGCCTACAAAACCCCTTTGTTTTTAGCTGGTGAGGAAATTCTTCTCTGAGCCCTTAGGAGGGTCATCACAAAACTATGTCACTGCTGAAATACAATGCCCATAAAGTCATAAAATCTTCAAGTCAGACAGTCTCAGCGAGAACACTTCCCAGTGACGGTGAGCTAGTCTATTCTGTCTTTGGACATCTCTAAATGTTAGCAAGTTTCTTCTTATATTGAGCATAAATCCACTTCTGTGTAATTTCCATCCAGTGATCCTACTTCTGCTGCCTGAAATTACAAAGAGCAAATCTAATTCCTCTTCCACCAGGTAGTACATAAAACATTCGGAGATGTCAGCTGTATCTCTCTCTGTATCCTCCTTTCTCCAGACTTGAAAGTCCTGATTCCTTTGGTTATTTCTGGTATAGTTTCCAGACTCCTCATCATACTACTATTTTGACCCTCTTCACATCTTCTAGTTTCCCAGTGTTCTCCTTAAAATGCAGCACCCACATATAACAAGGACCTCTGACAGGTTGTTGTGAATACTACCTTTGCTCTGGATCCTAAATATTCATTGACAAAGTCGAGATTCCCTTCTGAAATACACCGTGGTACAAGTGGAAAAGCTACTTATTTTGAGTGAGTAGAACTAGATCTGCTGCTGGTTGAGTAGGAGAGTCATAAGCCATCCTGAGCCTCAGTTTCCTCACATGTTAAGTAGAATAATAATGAGAATCTTCCTTGCTGACCTCACACAGCTGCTTCAAGCCTCAGATGAGGAAATGTATGAAAAGCACACGTGAATATAAAGCACTGTTACTATTAACAGGATATATTAAAATGGGTAAGTAACAAAGTATTACTTTTTAAACAATGGCAGTAAGAGCATACAACAGAAATAAAAATAATCCCCAGGTTTCCCTTTTAAAAATCCCAGAAGAAAGGAAATCATATAAAAATCCTAAATTCTGTCCGTCCTCAAATATCAAATGATCCCCAGAAACTCCACTTGCTCTGTGCTTTGGAAAAGCAGCATGTTGATTTATGCAAGAGAAATAAGGAAAGATGATCAGATCACTTCTCAGTTAGAGGATCTCAAAATACATAACCATTTTTAAAAACAAGAAAACCCTCAGAAGTATTTATTTCTTTATATCTACAGTGATGACGAAACCAGGTTTTCTTTTTCTTCATTACTGGCAGACAACGATTTGTCAAGATACGAGGAAAGCCTGTGTTGCTTTTAAAAGGTTTTTGCACATCAAGGTAACATCACTGCCAAAGTACAAAGAAAAGACACTGCAACGTTCAGATAAAAGGGTGCTGGGATGTGAATCATCAGTACTCAGAGTAGGCTGACAGTTCTGGCTGAGAGCCAGACAAGAACTGCAGCAGAAGGCAATGCCCAGATGCACTTTATATTATTATATTATTATTATAGATTTTAAAGACATTCAAGGAGGAAGTTTTTCCTTTCCCTAAGTGTCACTCATCTTAGCTTCTACTGGCACTGGACACTGCTTAAAAGTGAAAATTAAGAAAACTGCCACTGTCTGGACCCATGCGGTTATTGCTTTATTCTACAAATTGTCATAGTTTTCTGGTGCCTCAAGTTTAGCTACCCTTTTTCTACACGTTTATCCCTGTTAATTCTGCTATAATTTAAATAAAGCAAACCATGAGACTGAAGAGCCATTTTACATTGGGTTGGCCAGTTATCCTTTTCTGGTGACAATTTACTTTGTGTGGGGTGTTAGGTGAATCACTGTGGAGCCAATTTTAAACATGAGATTGTCCCAGCAATTAACGCTTATACCCTTCTATGCACACGACAAAGAAATTATTATGATTTACCATAGAATCAACTTACACTTCTGTTTCAGATATTCAATTTGCATAAATTATTTTACTAATGTAAATTTCAAAAAAAAAAGGACAATGTGAACATAAAAACAGTGACCAAATGGAACTCATAAAAGGCATCTGTATAATGTAGCTAAGTACAATCCAAAGAAAGCTTGAGAGTTAGATAAACTAAGACTATCCCAAATTATGCTCTTTGACTACGGAGTCACACTGAATCATTCTTTTCTGGCCTTACTGTGAAGAAGCACATATGTATGGCTAATATTATTGAGTGGTTATTACGTTACATTCATTATCTCAATTTAATCTCCATCACAATGCCACAGAATAGACACAATTAGTACACCCAGTCAGAGATGAGGAAACTGAGATTAAGAAGTCAAGCAACGTGCCCGGTGTGACAGGAATAATAAAAGGTGGAGGCAGAATTCAAACCCAAGCAGTCTGACCTCAGAAATGAGATTTAATTGCTAAAGTCAAGTTCTTAGGTCCACTCTGTATTTCGCCAGAGGGATGATTCTCATTCTTTTCTCTTTTTTTTTTTTTGCGGTACAGGGGCCTCTCACTGCTGTGGCCTCTCCCGTTGCGGAGCACAGGCTCCGGACGCGCAGGCACAGCGGCCATGGCTCACGGGCCCAGCCTCTCTGCAGGATGTGGGATCTTCCCGGACCGGGGCACAAACCCGTGTCCCCTGCATCGGCAGGTGGACTCTCAACCACTGTGCCACCAGGGAAGCCCCTAATTCTTGATGGGGTTTCAGTTCTTTCCTACATTCACTGATGCAACAAATATTTGCCACGTCCAGGATCTGCTACTTTATGGCTTTACATCTGTTGTCACATGAAATCCTTATTGGGTAGTTATAATTAGTTTCATTATACCAATGAGAAAATGACATTCAGAGAAGTTGTTATCCACTTAGTTCAATTTTTTTCCACAGGAAATAAGCAGCAGAGGTAGGATTTCAACCTCAGTCTGATGGCTTCTGAAGCATATATACTTTCCTCCTGATCACAATGGCTCAAAGCTTTACGGACTGTAATTCCCCTCATCCTGTTTACACTGATCTTCTAGGAAAGTCTGCTGCAAGGGGTCCTGGCCCTTCTCTCTTCCTCACGAGGTTGATCCTAAACTCCTGCACTGAAAGCGGAAGGGTGCATCAACATCTGAATAAGCCTCAGATCACAGGGTTAGCTCCTGACTCATGCACATCATTCCAACCTTTCACAGGATAAAGTGCTGTTAGGCTCCGTAGCCATTCACAAGAAGGGAACTTTTTTTTTTTCCATCAGGAAACTTTCATGAGCTTTAGTTCGTATTAAATGAGCAAATTCACCTCTAGGAAGAATGATTCCACATGCCAATATTTACAAATTTCATGGGTAGCCCGCCACTGCTTTGACACATTTGTAAATTTCTGGGAAATTTTCTTATAAATGTCTCTTCTTTACTCCTAATCTTTAATTCCATCTATTGTATCTGTGGCTCTCTACCTCTCTGAAACCATTGCGTATTATGAACTGTAGGAATTTCTGGCTGCATACCAACACGCGAACAATAATTACAATACAATCTCTACTAAATTATCACAGTGGTTTACGACGTAAAAGCAGGCATGGTTGCCACACTTAGAAAAGTGACTGTGTTTGAGTAAAATGATTACCGCTCTGCCTGTGTTCTCACAAACAAGTCCCAGTGCCAGGAAACATCTCATATGCATACAGTGATGGCCCTTGTCCTCCACTGGGTTGCATGGTTGCATGCCACATTGTCAAAATGTGGCAGTAGGCTGGTTGAGAATGTCATATATGTTGTGAAAGGGTCATTTTAATTAATTAAGAAGAATAAAATTCAGTACAGCAACTAATTCTTTGTAATCAATTCAACTGCTAAAAATGAATTATGCACTTTACGATTGTTTTGATGACCCAGAGGCTGCCTGGAGGGTTGGATAAAAAATACAGTTTGGGGCTACTGATAGCAAAAAAACAACTAAAGGTGAGATTTGAGCTACAAAGTCTCTATGCAGACATGTGTTTTTGTCTTAGTTTGTCTTCAGTGTTTACCTGATGACATTCCACAGCTAAATACAGTTTTTATTATAAATTTAAACTACTATTAATATCTCTCTCTTTATATAACCTGTC